ATTCGCTTTGGTTTTATTTTAATTTAATTCAGTTGAGTTTAATTTATCATATTTTATTTTATTGTATGCTATGTTGTACTATTTTTTTATTTTAATTTATTTTATTTTAAATTGTTTTATTTTATATTATTTTATTTTATTATTATTTTGATTTTACTTTAATTCATTTTATTTTAATTTATTTTTTTTATTTTATTCTATAGTTTGAATTTTTTTTTTATTTATTTTTATTATATTGAATTTAGTTTATATTATTTTTTCATATATTCGCTTTGGTTTTATTTTAATTTAATTCAGTTGAGTTTAATTTATCATATTTTATTTTATTGTATGCTATGTTGTACTATTTTTTTATTTTAATTTATTTTATTTTAAATTGTTTTATTTTATATTATTATTTTATTTTATTTTATTTTATTTTATTTTATTTTATTTTATTTTATTTTATTTTATTTTATTTTATTTTATTTTATTTTATTTTATTTTTTTTATTTTTATTTATTTTTGCTTTATTTTATTTAGCTCATATTATTATTTCATTGTTGGCCTTATTCTGTTTTGTTTTGCTTAATATTATTTTATTAATAGTTTTTTTTCTTAAATATATGAGTATTTCATTTTATTTTCCTGCATTTTGTATTCATTTTAATAAATAAATACCATAAATTAATTTTAGTGTCAATAAACACTATTAAATTGGTATTTTACGTTATTCAAATTTTAATTTAACAACTCAGCACATACTTACATAAATATAATTAAATACCATTTTTCGCAATCATTTTTTTTTTTTTTTCATTTCATTACCAGTAATTTTTCATCGCTTTGCCGGACCAGCACTACCTCAAATGCCGCCTAGACTATTTATAGCAGATAGGCCATTCGTATTTCTTATAAAAGCTCAAGAGAATATATTTCTCTTTGCTGGACAAAAAGCAAAGCTTTGATCATCATCCGGCGACAAAAATCAACGCTACTTAAATATATTTTATATGATCTACTACTAACTACTATATTTGTATTAAAATATAATAAAATACAAAAAATCATTGACATTTTTGCGATAGAAATTTTTTTATTCGGTTTCATAGAAAGACAAGGCAATATGTTTAAATAATAGTTTTATAGACTTCCTGAAAGTGAATTAACTAAAAACCATAAAAAAAAGGAATTTTCTTGTGCTTTTCACGCGGGCGGTTAGTTCTGTAATAGAAGCAATCAAAAAATTGTAATTTTCAAAATGAAAACTGGTTTACACGATAATACATTTTGTAATTCTTATTTGTGCAGTGTTTTCTTGAGAGTTATCAAAAAAGTTTGTGAAAGTAATTTTTCATAAAAGTGAAATTTTCATAAAACTTATTTCCATTTCAATATATCATAGGAAAGACATCAACTGGTCTTTGGGTTGAATAAAATATATATATGTACTACATCTCTTTGAAAACTCTCTTGTTATTCCGTAAGCCTAATTAATGTAATAGAATTATGCATTAAAATTTTAGGAATAATTCGTTAAAACTTTTATTGACATCAAATATTAATGAGTAAAGCATTCATTATTCACATTCACTCAATTTTCAAAAAACATATTAATACATACATATATATGCACATACATATATATTGTTGCGAAAATGCGAGGCGAATGTCAGATGAAAGAGAGAAGCCGATAACTAGTACGTTCTAGAAACGATAAAACAAGAACCTTCCATAGCGAACAATTCGATGCTTCTACGCTTTCGTCTGCGAGCAGCCGACTGCTATATAAAGGCGACACTCAGCTGCAAGTGAAGCAGTGACAAAGCAAATTGGTTGGCGTTAACATCAGTGAAGACGTAAAGTGACGCGTTGGGAATTACATTTAAGTAGAGGAAATTGTGAAAGTTGATGTTAGTGATTATAAATAATAAAGTGCAGTATAATTGAATTGTGAATTACTGAGAGAATAAAGGACATTAGATAGAATCTTTATAACGAAAGAAACTGCAAACTAAGTTGGCGAGTTTTTTTATTTAACAATCCAGAGATCGTACCCGAAGGATCTAGAAAATAATCGAGGGTGATTCAGTAAAATCGTAACAATATTATATATATATAAGTTAGTTATATTGGTAAAAATTATATATATTTTTCCTTAATAGCTATCTTTGCCTCTGTCACCTCCGTGGGCTTTACACCACCAACAATGGAATTTATGGCTGATCGACCTTTCGTGTATTTTATTCGAAATAGCGCAAATCTCATTCTTTTCGGCGGACAAATAGCGTCATCACTATAAAGGATGGAAAGACCACCAACTCTGACCACGATAATGCCAGTTCATATTACCTGATCATTATATATGTGTAATATGTTGCATAATTCAGCAAATAAATATATATTTATATAGCATTTCATGTCTTTCTATTATTGTTAAAATATAAAAATCACCTTATTTTTGAATATTCTAATTTAGTTTAGTTTTTTTTTTTTAGCTGAAGATAAATCGAATTCAGCTGAACACGCTAGAAAATGGCATATAAAATATTAACAAATTTTACAAAAAAAAAAAAACCATTTCATACTCATACATACATACATAAGTACATATAAGGCTGTTAGTGTGTATTTTGAATTTTATTTTTTCTCCACTAGCTTTGATTGGCAGTGTTGGTTCCGTGGGCTTTACACCACCAACAATGGAATTCCGAGTTGATCGACCTTTCGTGTATTTTATTAAAAATAACGCAAATTTAATACTTTTCAGCGGGCAAATGGCGACAACACACTGAAGGAACACCAGCCACTCGTCACATATTTAATAATTTTGTATTATGCTAAGCATTAACCGTGTTTTCAATAATTCAGCAAATAAATTAATATTTATATAAGACATTCTTCATTATACCGTTAATAAGAATATACAAATCGCATACATATTTTTCATTTGAATGGGTTATTTAGCGCTCTTTTCACCCGAAACTGCATGCAAAAAGAGTAATTTGGTGAATTATTTTGGTAAAGATTTCTTCAATGTGGTCTATGTACAGGTCAAAGTATTCTACCGAATGCATGGGAATACTCGTATATACTTACATATATACATGCATACATTCATTTGTCTATAATGGGTTTTAAATAAATATTTTAAGTAAATAGAAAATTCTAAAAAAAAAATTGTTTTAAACAAATTTCAGTTTTGCGTATGATGCCCGTTATGAGTTTCAGACGTAAACGCTTCATTGCAGACCGACCCTTTGTGTATATTCTACGCTCCGAAATGCACGGCATCGTTTTCATGGGACAATTAGGAAACTTTTGAGGTGGAAGACAATGCGAGGCTGAAGATCGCCGTTCAAAAGTACTGTAAATTTAAGATTGTAAATAAATATTTTGTAGTGTATAAAAACATTTTCATTTTAATTTGCGATAATTTGTTTTAATAAAATAAAATTTATGCCAACAACCTTATTGGTCTGGAAGTCATACGCCATGAATTGGAATTTGGCGTGAATTCCGGTCTATAAGGTGGTTGCATACGAATCCGCCAAACAAGTTCTTAGTGCTTCTGGCGAGCCCCTATCGATGAGCGTGGTCTGGCGTTGTGCTGATGATAAACCAATTTCCCTCCTGTTGCAAAATGCTGGGCGCATCTGGGCGATTTCTTTCTCCAGATGTTCCAATTGCTGACAGTACAGGTCCGTATTAAGAGAGTACAGGTCCGTATTAAGAGTTCAAACGTAGGGGAGCAGCTCGTGATGGGCGATTTATTGCCAATCCCACCAAACACACAACAAAACGGACGTAGCCGTTACTCCTGGCTTGGAAACTATTTGTGCCACCTCACTGTCCTTCAATCACGCCCGTTTTCATTTAATGCTGCAGTCAGTGATCCATTTTTCTCTACCAGTCACCTTCCGCTCCAGAAATGGGTGGACTTTGTTACGATTCAGCAGCAATTCGCAGATGGAAATACGGCTCATGAGGTTTTTTGTCGCTAACGTGGCAAAACCTCCACTCTGGCTTCGCTTGGTATTTCCAACTGACGCCAAACAGCGAAGTTAGTGGCTATAGTTGCGTAAGCGGTGCCTATGTCCATGATTATGAGGAAAAAGAAGCCTAAAAAATTATAATGCAGTTGAAAATGTGAAAATGACTTCATTTCCTCTTCGAACCAACCAAGTAGAGGAATAGTGTCCAGTCATAACTCTCATAATTTGAGGTAGTAGAGACCATACAACATATCAAGGCTCGACTGGAGATGCCTGATCGGATACAGCACTGCGTACTACAGGAAGAATTTATACTGATTGTAGGTTAATAACTGACCCACTCAGATGTTATCCAGGCATGATTAGTTTAAGAAGATTGTCAGGGAAGGTCGCATCTTTTTTTCTGCGCATTAATGCAATCTTAGGATGTAATAATCAGATCCGTCTTACTGGGATCTACGTTAAGTCAATTCTGGTCTCAAAATTTCATTATTCTTTTATATTTATGTAGATGCTCATGCGACGTCGTCGTCTACAAGATTTAGCTTTGATATAGGTATTCGAAATATCATTTGGCGCGGTGACAATTTTTTAAAGACGAGACGAGTATACATAATTAGAAAAACGCCTAGAATTTAAAAATTGCAAGGAATATATAGCATTATCTCGAAGGTATTTATTTTAAACAAATTTTATTTAAAAAATTCTAAAATATATTGAAAATTTCAAAAATAAAATAAATATAGAACCCGTAGAATATGAGAGCGATATTCAAAAAAACAATTAATCTATTAATATAAAATTCGAAAGTATTGGCCAATTTACTTTTGAAATGTTTCAAAAATTATTACATGCTGCTGTTGCGAACCCACTCCAAGTGCAACCCTGCGAGCTGTCATTAGAAAACTGTCATAATTGACATTTCCAAATATCTTTTTCTTTTCCGCTCTACTGTCAAAAACAGAGGTACGAAAATTATTAATATTTGTTAAAAAATATCTTTAAAAATCCAAAAAACAAGTTACAAATGTGTTTCAACAATATGACAAATCTTACATATACATTTCATACTATGTGTTCTAATAAATATTTTTTTATTTTTCAAATCTTGTGCTGAAATTTACAAATCTGCGTATATCGTTTATAACTTGGTTGTTGAATCGGATTGGTCTCTGAAAATGCTGTTGTGGTTGCAAAATGATTTTCATCGCCCGTTGATAACACATAGGTTTAGTAGTATAAAATGGCCAAGTCAAAGAATCACACCAATCACAATCAAAACAGGAAGGCGCATCGCAACGGCATTAAACGCCCAATCCGCAAGCGTCATGAATCCACTCTGGGTGTAAGTATACGAAACAATATTCTGCTGCTGTTCATATAATTTATGACGATATTTTCATATTACAGATGGATGTGAAATTCCTAATTAACCAACGTTATGCACGCAAGGGTAATTTGTCCCGCGCTGAGGCCAACAAACGCTTCGAAGAGCGTGTCGCCGCTCAAGCTGGCAAGCCAAAACCCATCAAACTATAAACGTCTCAAGATGTCGACAATCGAGGGTTTTGTGAATTGGGTAGCATAAAATTAAATAAAACATAATTTTATACAAAATATTAGTTTCATATTTTATTAACGCAAAATACTTAGTAGTAAACACTTAAAACTTTGTGGAATGGTATGTGTTCCAGCTCGTCGGCATGCTTGCGGCGATAGTCCCATAAGAAGTGGTCTATTAATATCGAGTTTACGTGCTCTTTATTGAGTTCCAGCTCTTTGTCCGCCATTTTCTTTAAAATAATATCCTTAGCTTGCTCCACTATATATATGGAGGCACCACGAATTTCAACTTCACGGGGATCGCCGTTCTCGAGTATAGTATCTTTATTCAAAACTTCTAACAGCTCTGGTTTATAAACCAAGCTACCAAAGTGTATCAAAACTTGTGGCACACGGTAATCCGCAAACATGGTGATTTTTTCAAGGTTATTAAACTTGCCTAGTCCTTTGCCTTCGAAACAAGACCATATATCACCAATCAGAATCTGAGCGCGCTTGTACAACGAAACTCGCTTTCCTTCGAAGTCAGCTTCGTCCCGGAAGCAAGGAAATTCACTGACCACCAGCTGCAACAAACGCTCTGCAGAGTTGTTAGCAGCACGTATTACGTTTTCGAATTTTCCCTGCCAATTTTCTAAAAGTCTTGTGCCAACTTCATGGAAACAAGAAAGGCGTTTTTCAAAAAGTGGTACAGATGTTACACCATCATCCGAACGGAAGACTTTGCGCAGTGTATCTACATCAATTTTGGAATAGTAAGCCGCATTAGTGATGTCTATACCCTCAAGCATTGCGCGATTGATTGCCGCACATAACGCGAAATAGCCGGTATAGCCATCGACTTTGTATTTAGTGTAGTCATCTAATGTAAACATATACAAAAATAAAGTACATACGAATCTAAAGTTATTAATATCCTTACTTGGCGTCCAGAAGCAAAAGTTTAATGTATCCACCACAAATATCCATTCAATAGCATGGGCGTCATCACACTTCGGGTGCACATCATTTTGGGAGAAGTTCTTCGGGTCAAGCTCACCAGATTTTAGGCGTGAGACTACTTCATTCGCTAATCTTTCAATGCCCTCCGGTATCACGGTAACAAATTTGGCATTTTTAACGATATGTTCACCAGATTCCCTTGGACTTAGTGCCATCGCTGCTTTGATACTTTGAGAATATTATATTTATATTTGGTCTCTTTCCTCACTTGAAGAACTTTGCAAAGATGCGTTGCAGAAATAAAAGTTGGTTGTATTGGCTTGTAGGTTATGTATGAATTAATGTATATATAGTTAGTTGATTATATGCAATGTTTATCTTATCGCAACAAAACTAATTATTAAAAAGTTTCCCACAACTACAAAACAAAAATTATTTATCCTTTTTCTATAAGCATTGTTTTATATGTAAAAGCTAAAAATGATATCTGCAGGTTTATTTTTAAATAAAAAGAAATAATAATCTCTTTGAATTAAATTAGCATGATAACCAAAACAAAACTAGTAAATGTCATGATAAAACCAGAAAGCGTTTAAATATCTACATCGGGTGGCAAGGCAACTTTATTTGAATGTACGTTCAAGTTATTCGAAACATTCAATCTTTATAACGAATATTGTAACTATGCGCAGCAATGTGCGCTTCTTGGAGAAGAACATGGGACTTTGCTCAGACCAAACCTAGCTTGGAGAACTTTTTATTCACACTTTTATTACGAAGACACGTCCCTAATACTTGGTGCTTTGAATCTTTATTCACTTACAGCACTACACGAACAGCTGTTTTGCTTCTCCGCTTTCGTGTTATTCGTGTACAAAAACAACAACTGCTCATGTAATAATTGACAAGGGGAAAAAATTATTATTTGACATTTTAGTAATGCAATTGTTGTTGCTTTTCTTTGAACATCATCAGTTGCTTTGTCTCTGCCGTCATTTATCGCGATTGCTGTTGCAACACTCCAATTCGAAAGGGGAAAAAATCAAAATGTTTGTGCTGTGAAAATATTTGCAAAAAATATTCCCAAATTATGATAATCAATTAAATTGCGCGAATGTGAAGAGTGTCGCATGCAATAAGACTACGTGGACCCAACCGAGCACTTGCCAAGAAAAGCAATCGCAAAACCCCGTGGTTGTCAAATTTTTTATCTAAATACAATTTATGCGGACGTCTGCAGAGCAAAGTAGCTCGGGTGAAGGAAAACTATTACATATTATACCACAAAAAAAGTGAAAAATCGCAAAATCATTTATCAGAAAATTCACTATAATATTAAGTGATGTACAAAACTTAGTGATTTAATTGGCACGTGAGCGATTAAGTGAAATAATTTACATGTACAAGCTTTTCATATAGTCACAAATTAATAAGTGAAAATTTCGACCGAATTGGGCTCTATAAAATTGTTCCATAAAATAAGAAAGCGCATGAAGGCTTATTTCGTATTGTGAACGGCGAGTCGTGATTATTTGGGAGTTTGTTGATTGCTTTACGCAAGCCACCAAACAAATCGAGTCATCACTATAATTTGGCTGCATCGACAGACCAATAACAACAAGAGCGGAAAACGTCATTAAACGTCTTGTGCCCTCATCATCGTCCTAGACTTTTTTGTTTTATTCATTTCTTTGTTTTGGCACTGTACTGTGGTGTAGAACGGCTAGATATAACCGAGTACCTATTGGAAATTGGTAACCGATTTTTTTATGACTGGCGCTCTTAAAGGTACGTATTTTTTGCTATTTCAAAAAATTCAAATGCAGAAATCTCTTTTTATATTTACTTTTTCAATTTACTTATATACTAAATACTGTGGTGGGAATAACGAACGTGTTTTGCCAATATTATTAAAAATGATGACATTTCAAGTTCGCCAAAGGCGCTAATTAAGCGCTCACAATTTCCGCAACAGTCAAACAAATGAAGCGCTGTTGAGTTATGACTTCCAGCGGACATTTCTCATTGTTTGACCATAGTCTAGCTGCGTAAGATGGGCTGCAAATTCAGTTTGACAAAATTACAGTGATTCGACAAATAGATATAAAAATTGTTGATTTTTTGGTTCTAAACTATAAACAAATAGAATTGGAGGAAGTATTTTTCGAAAACGTAAGTGAATTTGTAAAAATGCTAAGAAAGAGTTCTATACGGCAGCATTCTAGGACTGAAACCCTCACTACATTTTGGAAGTATGAATATTCAACTACTTTTTTTAGTTTCTGTGTGAATAAAAAAAAAACACATCAGCAAAGTAACGACACACTTTTATGCACATCTTTATATGTGTGCATATGTATTTATGTCGAGGAGTATTCAGAGAATTATTAGTCTAATGCGAGATAATTTTTTATAATGATTGATTTTGCTTAATATTAATTACCAGAAATTTGTATTGACAACTTGAGTGATGGGTGTTATGTACGCGTGTGTGTGTGTGTGTGTAATTTACTATCAACAATTATTTAATGCCGAAAATATTGCAAATTTATCAAAATATCACTCAAAATCATAGATAAATCATGCAATTGGAAAACCACACATGCACACACACCAATAATAAATATATTCATACATATTTATACATCTAATTGTCTCAAAGAAACTTTTATATTCGATATCAAGTTGCGTTTAAAATAAATTTTGTTTAAATAATTGATTTCGAACGGGCTGCAATTTCAAGTGCTTGAATGTCTTAAGGTCGAAAGCTTTTAGGTCTTCAAATATCAACTGGTATAGGAATTGAAAGGTTGATTTTCTCGTGTTTCATTTATTTTTGCTGCGATAAGATTTCTGGTAACTAATGTTGTTATCACATATTTGAACAGTAGGCATGTGTACACAGATATGTGCATATATATTTAAAATTATGAGTGTATTTATATTTTATATACAATATTTGAATTAAGGTAATCAAATTAAAAATAATTTTTGATCATACCTAAGAATATAAGAAAATTAAAAAAAAAATTAATTTCTGAGTCTGAAAGTTGTTTCATAGTTAAAAATTTTTCACATTTAAAAAAGAAGTTATTTTAATCTTCGAAAATTCTTAGTTTTTTGAAATTTACAAAAATTATTATAAAAAGCTGGAACCTTCAAGTAAAATTAAATATCCCCTAAAAATTATTTAATACACGCCACTGCCGATAAGTAATTTCAGTGTCAATCACTTGTGTAAATTAAATAAACTCAACGCATGATAATCATCTATCTGGAAAATATCTAACAAGGCGATAAATGTAATGTAAATAGTATTGAATTAATTTGTTTCATTTTATAGAAGAATTTTTTTTCTTGTTTAAGTCCACCTCCCTTCGGCAGCGCCACTTTATTGTGATTAAGTAAATTTTGTTATTAAAAGAAATGGAAAAAATGGAATTGAAAACAGTGTGAATTTAGCGAATATATTTTTATGTACAAGTACATATATATATATATATATATACTTCTATATGTATTGCACAATGCTCTAATCGCGGAATCGCATTTTTATTATTGCTTAATTATAGCAATAACATTTTAATAACAATTATTATTCTGCTGCTAATTAATTATGGGTAATAAAATAAAAAACAAAATAAAATAAATCATAATAAAATAGAAGGAAAGAAAAGTAACGAAAGAAAAATGAAAAAAAAGTTAAAAAAATTAAATAAAATAAAAACGAAAATTAATTGAATTCAGAAATAAATTAAAACCTTAAAATAATTAATTTATAAATATTTTCTAATAATACAAAATGTAAAAATAGATATAATGTATGTATGTATATGTATTTATACATACGAGATGTGTTCAAAAAATATCGCGAATTTTGTGTTTTTTCAAAAATTATTTATTTATTCATGAATATCTATTTTCTCCCCTTCAAAGTAATACCCATGAGATATTCTACACTTGTGCCAACGGTTTTTCCAATCTTCGAAGCACTTCAAAAAATCATTCTTGTTCAGCTCCTCCTTCGATGGCGTCTTTATCTCGTCAATCGTAGCGTAACGTCGTCCTTTCATGGGCCTCTTCAGTTTAGGGAACAAGAAAAAGTCACAGGATCTGGGGAATACGGTGGCTGCGGCATCGTTAGTGTGTTGTTTTTAACCAAAAAGTCGCGCACAAGCAACGATGTGTGAGCAGGGACGCCCCTGCCAATTTTTGTTCTTCCACAAATCCAGGCGTTTCTGGCGGATTGCTTAGCGCAAATTGCGCATAACATGCAGGTAATATTCCTTATTGACCGTTCTACCCTGTGGCAAAAACTCATGATACACCACGCCCCTGCAACTAATTTTTTCGTCTGTTGTTGAAGTGCTCGGGCGTCCGGCACGCTCTTCGTCATTCACGTCTTCTCGGCCTTCTGAAAACATTTTGTACCACCGATAAACGTTGCTTCGGTCCAAGGTAGCTTCTCCGTCACTTAATTCCGTTTTTCACACAAAATTTGATACAGGCTCTTTGATCCATTTTTTTGAATAGGTAAAAATCGAAGACCATCCAAAACAGGTGCAAGCAAAGCAGCCGTCAACAATTAAGTAAACATTCAAAATGGCCGAGCTTGTAGCAATAAGTGACAGACATGAGCACCAACATAACGCCACAAAAAAATCGAAATTCGATTATACGTAACCCGCGAAAATTCCAAACTCACGATACTTTTTGAACACACCTCGTAAGCCTTGTATGAGTTTGTCTAATAGATTCATCACTAATTTTTAAAGACAGCTTGTATGAACAGCTTAATTTAAAGAAATATATGTAGATATATATACATATAAATATAAATGACATTCGCTCTCCTCCATTCCTCCAGACACTATAACCCTAAACGCCAACAAAATAAATTTTCAGCGCTGTTTATTCACATCATCAATGATGGGGCACTCTGCTCAATAAACAATTGAAGCATTCTAAATTTATTATTTGCTAAAATGCGCAAATGACAGTGGGTTGTAATTGAAAGACTCTAGAGAAATTAATACAAAAATAGAATTAATGATAAAGCGATGCTAAGCAGTGACAAAATTAACGGTGTTTACTTTTAAAGGGTTATCCCATAGGCAGATTTTTTTTTGTTTTTAAATTTCACGTTAATATGAAGCGCTTGAAATACATACATACATCGATATACCATTCGTTCGGTAATATAGTGAAGAACAGGCGGTGGCCATACTGTAGATAGCTCTCACATCTTCATCTCTATTTGACAACCTCGAATTTAACGAAAACAACAACAAATTAATACTAATTTTGATATAAACAAAATGAAATGAGAAATTCAAATAAGAAACTTAAAAACTCTGACTTCAACGTGAATCAGACGTCTTTATTGCGGCTTGAACAGAAAACAACAAAAAAAATGTGCGCAAATAAAATTCAAAGCGATGATTCGATATTAATTTGAGTATTAGAATGGTAATTGTGACAAGGTTTGACGACAGTTGCTTAGCTGAGTCGCATTTGCACTTGTGGGACACACAACGAACGCATCATCGCTAGCGCTATCAGCTGGAATTGCGATATCTCTTAGTGGCTTCACACATAAAATCTTAGTATCTCAGTATTTTTAGTATTTTTATTGCCCCATCTAGTCGCGCTATATAAGCCCACTTTATGGTGTGCCCTAAAATCATGTGAATATTGAAGAGCTTTTCATCTGTGTTGTGGAGCGCTTGTCAGTAACGAGTCTGTTTTCATTTGCATTTCCAAACGAATAATTAAACATTATCAGGTGACGGCAAATTTGTGTATTGTGCACTGTGTACTCTCTTCAAGAACAAAAACAAAAGAAAATTTATTCAAAAACAATAAACAACAGAAAGATATGGAAGAACAGTTGCCTGTCTTCACCGTCTCATATTTCATGGATACACTTTATCAGTCGACATCGCTGACAGACTGGAAGGAGGTGAGTGAGTGTTCGCAAACCAAAAAAGCCTACTTGATGTGATTGAGAAGAATTAATTGGATTCAGAGAAAATAAGAATATTTCAAAAAAATTGAAAACTTTAAAACATTAATTCAGCAGAAAATAAACGGAGGCAAAAAAGATAAATAAATTAACATGAAATAAAACAGAATAAAATAATGTAAAATAAGATAAAATAAAGTTTAGTGAAACAAATAAAATAAATTACAATGAAAAATGTAAATACTTAGATAAATAAATAAAAAATGGAAAGTAATAGTAAATTAAATTTAAGGAAAATTAATTAAATTGAACTAAATTAAATAAAATTAAATAAAATTAAATTAAATAAAAAATTGAATTATAAAGTAAAAATAAATTAAATTAAAAGAGAATTAAATGAAATTAAATAAAATAAAAAATTGAATTATAAAGTAAAAATAAAGTAAATTAAAAGAAAATTAAATTAACTTAATTAATTGAACTGAATTAAATAAAATGAAATAAAATCAAAAAATGAAATAAAATAACAAAAAAAAAAATAAAATAAAATAAAAGTAAATTAAATTAAACTAAATTAAATACAATTCAATTAAAAAATAACAAATAAAACAAAAAGTAAAATAAAAAAAAAAATTACAATGTAAAATGTAACTACGTAATTAAATAAAATAAAAAATTGAATTAAAAAGTAATAATAAATTAAATTTAAGGAAAATTAATTAAATTGAACTAAGTTAAATAAAATGAAATAAAATTAAATAAAATAAAAAATTGAATTATAAAGTAAAAATAAATTAAATTAAAAGAGAATTAAATGAAATTA